GAGAGAGAGAGAGAGAGAGAGAGAGAGAGAGAGAGAGAGAGAGAGAGAGAGAGAGAGAGAGAGAGAGAGAGAGAGAGAGATTGTGTGTGCTGTTGGTAGCAGAACGTTTGACATGTTGTGTGTGGCTGGACTGTGTTATGTGCAGGCTCATTTTATGCATGCAAAGGACTTTCAGCTGCTTGCCAGGGGGGCTGCTACGGGCACCAGTCACTACAGACATGGCGGAAGGCAGGGTCTTCGTCGAACTGCAAGGTTCGTCAGGGGTCTATCACATGTGAATCACAAGCTGCCCCGCCTGCTTCAGGTATGTATGAGCACGGATGGAGAAGGAACTGTCCTTTTTCTCCCTTTGCAGCTCACCCTGTGCCCGTTCTTTGGGCATTAGAGCTTTAGCACGGCTGCACAGTTTCTGTGACACATCTGGGTTTTTGGTATTAGTGACAGTCGATGTCTTTGGAGATTGATTGGGTGTTGAGGTTGTGTGTGAAAGAGAGAAGCCCTTAGGGTGAAGCTTGCTTTTTGCTGTTGTGCTGCGTTGAAACGAGGTCTGCATTGTCCTCACATGTGCTCAAAATTCCTCATGAACCACCAGTACATCCGAAAGAGCAGATTGAGCCTCTCCTAAAAAATAGGAGACCATGAACCGCCGATTCATTTTATCGACGGTCCATGGCCTCCGAATTTTTAGGAGAGGCTCAATCCCTTCAACACGTTCAGCGACTAAGGGCTTCCTTCTGGATGTTATCTAGTTGTACGTTTTCGTTTGGCTTCTCTGGCAGCTTCTTTCGTGTTTGCAAGGCAATTACTGGAATCAGCTTGTGAAGTTGTGAGAGAAAAGAAAGAGAGTGGCGCTGGGACTTGTGGCACTGGGACTTGATCTGCACTGGGACTTTATCCAATGTAGAAAGTGAATCTTGTAGAAGGAAAGGGAAAAGGGAGTAATGCAGATCTGGGACTTTATCCAATGTAGAAAGTGAATCTTGTAGAAGGAAAGGGAAAAGGGAGTAATGTCATGGTGGAATAGAACTTACAGAATGAAGATGAGGGTCGGTGTGGAACAAAAGGCTGATGTGCAAGGTAAAACGGATCTTGTAGATGCGACTGTTAAAGAAGAACCAGATGAGGTAACAGAAATTTGAGGGTGTGTAGTTGGGTCTTCGCAGCTACGAAAAGAATGAGCAGGATTCCAGTGACTGAAGGCACATTGGAATGCAGTTTGAAAAAGGTGCAGTTTGGTAAGACTTAGTCCTGGTGCGTGCTGGATATGGCCTGATTGACGGAAAGTGGTTGTCATGAACTCTTATCGGCGTCTTGTCATCACATTTCAAAGGAATTATTATTGATTTTAATGAGAGATCCGGTTCATAATGGAAGAGAACAGGGAGAATGAATGTCAGCCATGAGAGACCAGTGTGCGACTGGTGGTAAATCAGGCACCACATTGTAGGGAAGCATATTTGGATGACTGGTGCCCGTAGCAGCCCCCCCTGGCAAGCAGCTTAAAGTCCGGAAGGAAGCAGATGGGTCTTGTATGAACCCATCGTCTGCGGTGAATACCGAAAGGAAGGGTGTGCAGGTGGTTGCCTTGTTGTCTTTTCCACCTGTCAGTAGAAGGTGAATTGGGATGCATCTGCTGAGCTGCACCGAGATACAGCTGTGTATGCTTATGTATCTGTGAGTTATCGGATCAGGCATTCAACCCCATGACCGCTCACTGCCCTGTCCCAAGCGAACCACAACCTTCTGCCTCCTTCCCCCCCGCCCCCCTCACACACACACAAACCCCCCTTCATCACCACCACTACTTGTCTGCGACAATTTTCGTGTCTCTCAAACCGAACGCACTGCTGTATGGAAAAAGGTCAGGATATTAAAAAATCCAAAGGAGGAGGTTGAGAAAAGAAAAGAGGTATTGGAAGTGAGAATGTTGGAAGTGAGAATGTAAGAGAGAGAGTGGGATGAGGCTTGATTGCTTCACGATTGTTCACACACACACACACACCCAAGGACAACCAAAAAACTGTCTAATTATAAAATTGCTTTAATATGTTGGACATCTCAAATGCTCTCGTTGTCTGCAATAGGATAAAGACTGCTTTGATTCTGAATCTATTCACCTGGGTGGAATTGGGGCTGTTTTGGGGAAAATCTAAAACACACACACACACACACACACACACACACACACACACACACACACACACACACACACACACACACAGAGAGAGAGAGAGAGAGAGGTGAAAAGTAAGGAGGTTGCTAAGGTGTGGGTTGAACACGTGTTGAGTTCAAAGCAACAATGTTAACAAAGTATTTTTGTTGATCTCTGTGGATGGTTGGCCAGTAGCGAAGCCAGCGGAGCAGAGTGGAGAAGCAGCCACACAGACAGGTATGCATGCACCATCAAACTATGGTCCTGCATTTCGTTTTCCTCGTCCTCACTTTTCAATAGAAGTTTTGTTCTTTTTCCTTTTCTCAACAAGCGGAGAGGGAAGCTGTGGAGATTGCTTTTTAATAGTTTTTATGTGTGGTCCTCTTGATCAAGAAGGGAATCATATTGCTTTTTAATAGTTTTTATGTGTGGTCCTCTTGATCAAGAAGGGAATCATATTATGTTCCTGAGGCACTCATTTTGTGCCCCACCATCCCCCCACTGCAGCTAACCTCCAACAACGAAAGGAAAGGAAACAAGAAAATGATGAAAATCAGAAAATGTCATTTACTGTTTTATTGATAGTTTGCTGATCTGGTTCTGGTGAATGGCAAAATCCCATTTCTCTTTCTTGCCCTGATAAGATGATGCCATGCCTCATGGGGATGCTCTCTACATGCCTGTGAAGTTAAGTCCGGCCTTGCCTTTGCTGTTGTAGCAGGGCAACAAGCCAGGTAGTAAGAGAGAACATGACGTGTGGGCTAGTTGTTTGAATGTGTATTTCTCTTTGCCTCTACCCCTCCTTTTTTTCTTCCCCTCTCTTCTCCACTCTAACAACTGTGTGTGTATGGGGTGGCTTGTGTGCTTGTGTTGTGTGTGTGTGTGTGTGTGTGTGTGTGTGTGTGTGTGTGTGTGTGTGTGTGTGTGTGTG